ATTTCGAAATAATGTAATATCTTCTCAATATTGATTCGTTTTTCCATCTGTCACAAAAAAAAATAGTGTATTATACACGGGAAAAATATTAGATTTTAGCTCACGGTTTTTTGTGGAGCTGAAATCTACTACTTTTTTCCCTTGTATAATAAATAACTATTTTTTTCGTCGAGGTGATTGAAATTCTTCATTGACATCATTTGGGTCTAATCCCCCATTTGATAGTGTGGGAGTCTCCTGACTCCAGGATAAACCCACTAAACACTGTTTGTAGGCTTGTCTGACTGATGTTTCCGACGATACTTATGCCTTGTTGGCCCATTGTTACGAAGGCGCTGAACGGACATAGCAAGAAAAAAAAATTTTTTTTTCGTCGTTTCAATATAATTGTCAGATTTATCTGGCATTTAAGCTAATTGCGACATTTATCTTGCAATTAAGGCTTAATTGTCAGATTTATCTGGCATTTAAGCTTATTGCAACATTTATCTGGCATTTAAGCTAATTGCAAGATTTATCTGGCATTTAAGGCTTGATTGCAAGATTTATCTGCCATTTAAGCTAATTGCAAGATTTATCTGGCATTTAAGCTAATTGCAAAATTTATCTGGCATTTAAGGCTTGATTGTCAGATTTATCTGGCATTTAAGCTAATTGACAGATTTATCTGGCATTTAAGCTAATTGCAAGATTTATCTGGCATTCAAGCTAATTGCAAGATTTATCTTGCATTTATAACCTAAAAATCGTGAATGTGTTTATGTATTCATTTCAGCTGAGTAGCTACTTGTTCATTGATAACGTGTTATTTATGTTTCGAGTAACCAGATATTTGGTGGAATACTAACGATACTGAGAAATGGATGTGTTGATACGAGCTTACTTCATGTTAGGACTACAGCAGTCCGAAATCATCTGTTGTTTGGGTCTAAATCATGAGATTTTCATTAGTGAAAGGCATTTGAGGAGGAAACTACGTGAACTAGGATTATTTCGCAGGAGAAATTACACGGATATATTGACAGTATGTAAATTTTTAGAAGAAAATATTACCACACATGGTCAGTTACATGGGTACAAGTGGTTACATTTGAAATGTTTACAAAATAACCTCGTCGTGACCCAAGAAAATATTAGAATACTGCTTCACGCTATTGATCCAATAGGTGTTGATTTCCGCATGAGAAGAAGATTGCGAAGAAGGCAATATCAAAACAAAGGACCGAATTATTTATGGCACATGGACTGCTATGATAAATTAAAACCTTTTGGAATATGCATAAGTGGTTGTATCGACGGGTTTTCTAGAAAAATTATCTGGTTAAGAGCTGGATCCAACAGCAGTGATCCTAGGATTATTGCTGGATACTATTTAGAATCGGTCATACATTTGGGAGGTTGTCCAAAAACTCTTAGAGCTGATATGGGAACAGAGAATGGGATAGTTGAAGAATTCCAGGTGTTTTTGAGGAATCAAACCCAAGAGGCAACACGAAATGGTTTACCGTATTTCCTATATGGTAAAAGTACAACCAATCAGAGGATAGAAGCATGGTGGAGCATCCTTAGAAAACATCATTCGCAATTCTGGCTGAATATTTTTCATCAGCTGAAAGATGATGGATTGTTTGATGGAAGCTTCTTGAATAAATCATTGATTCAGTTCTGTTTCATGAAAATAATCCAGGTAAGTATAATTTTGAGATGTACAGTACCTAGATATTGATTCCTGATGCAGTTTTCTATCTACTACCTACCTCGATGAATAGCTTTACTCACAGAAATCTCTCAAGTAGAAATTCCCTCTATACAAGCAATATTGTGTGTACCAGGCGCATATACCAGGGGGGGGGGGGTAATGGGGTATCGAAGAAAGTTTAGTGTTTCAATCAAATTAACATTAAGATTCACTAAATGAATCCTGATTTTTCTTTGCTTCCGACAACATTTTTGGAATTTGGAAACACACGGCCTTATATGAGAAAAAATCTAACATTTTTGGATTTATCGTTAGACCAAAACATTGCTGTGTTCAATATTTGTATTTATTTCGATAACACCCTGTATATATATATATTTATATATATACAGTATATATCAGTATATATCGATACATTTCGATGCATATATTAGTTTTTAGATTTTAAGTGTATTGAAATGAAACTTAATTGTTGATGCGCTCAACATACAGAAAATTTACCTCAAATACCAAAATCAAGTTTTAATGTCTAAAAGTTTTACTTTAAGTCCTAGTAAGTGTGCCTAGGTACTTATACTTTAATACTTTCATGACTTTTTTGCAGGAAGAACTTGCTGTAATTGTCAAAGAATGGAATATGCATAAAATATCAGGATCAAGAAACAGCGTATCTCCAAGAGGGCGTCCTTTCGTGATGTACCATATGCCGCAAATCTATGGAACGCATGATTATATTTGTGAGGCTGCATTAGATAACCTTGGAGTGCTAGAAGACATGTGTATTTTCCAGAATGACGTGCCAAGCGACCAAGATGTTCATGATCTTGCTATCATTATTTTGAGAGAAAAGCAGAAAGCTATTCCGAAGAGAAGTTTTGAGGCAGTTGATACTTATATCATGTTAAGAAATGAAATACAAAAATTATTATAAAATTATTAACAATAATGTGAATTGTTTGTCAGTTGTATGATTTTCACCATATTGTGTGGAAAAATTCTGTATTGAAACCCAATCACGAATCTGTGATTCGACTTGGCATGTAGCCAGGAAAGTAGTTGTTTTCTGTTGAGTATATACCGAATAAGAATTTATATTTTCAACAGATAGAGAATGCGAATTCTCAATATATTTTTTCATGTTTTTTCATATTCATAGTATATCTGAGTATATTATATTATTTTTCATTCAGAAAATGTATAGGTACTGAAAGTTACCTATGTGGAGCAGTGATGAAATAGAAATGGAATGCACACCACCACAAGTGAGGGAACTTGCGGACGGTACAATAATTAACTAAATCATTTTCTAATCATCTTCTTTGTATTTCTGAAATCTCGTTGAAAAAAGTATAGTCTACAACACGTTTGGAATGGCTTATTCGGCTCGGGCTACAAACTTTTCGATCGTTCGGAATATAGGCCATTCCAACACTTATTGTAGAATAAACTATTTTACGATCTTTACAGTGGGGAAATGAAACAATACAGTAAAAACAAAGGTTCGTTTATTATTTTACCTATATAAAAATTAAACAAATCTGCATGTGAAAGAAGGAACTGATCATTATTCATTTCTATATGCTCTCCTAGTTTCTTAGCCAAGCAAAATATGAAAAAAAGTATGTACCTATATCTTATAGGAAATACTGGCTCATAAAAAATAACAATTAAATCTGACTTTAACTTAAATATGAGATCGGTATAAGGAACCAAATATGAATATTTCATCAGAGCAGTCTTAACGCATGACTATTTTGAGTTGTTCAGAAACGAATCTAAATACTTATTGCTTTCACAGCAATGAGAACCTACTTAACCAATACAAGATGTAATAAAAAAATAGTATTTTCCATAAAAAATGCTACATTTTAACAAAAAATTCACAAAGGTATATCTAAATATAACTTAAATAAAAGATCGGTATATTTAAGAGCCAGCGACTAAGACTCTAATGGTTATTATATTCTGCTAAGACTTATGATTTCGATCAAAGATTTTCGTGAGTGAAGTTATTCATCAAAAGAAAATATAGAAAATTAATTGCACCACCACTCAATACCCAGGTACTGAACTCGTATCACAAAATGATACCACCTCATGAAGAAATACAACCCTTTTGGGAGTGGACATTAGCCAGACTTCCGCATCAATTATCATAAGTATTAGGAGAGTACAATCGTTATCGTATTTTTATCGCTGGTTCTTCGTCTAGAAAGGAACCATCAAATGAATTCCTGACCTGACTTCAGGAATAAATGTTCACCATGTTGATGACCACGAGGTATGGTACGACCCTGGAATTTACAGTTTTCGAAGATAATACAATCAAAATTCGGACCATTGAAATTATGCATAAGTACACGTTTTTTCATGATATTACAAAAAGTTAACCACTTTCAGTTTCACCGGAAATGAATCAATATTTTGTTTTTCAAGTGGAATACCCCCTATTTTGGAAAATTTTTGGAAAGAATTGCATATTTGCAATATTTTGTTTCTTTGAAATTTGAAATCCATTTGAAAATGAATATTTGCAATTGTTCAACCTTGCAAGGTTGGCCATGGAAAAAGTATTCATCAATATTGTCATATAGGTAGCTGAAAACGGTTTAGGGTAACATCAGATTGAAAACTTATCTCATCATGAAGATTCAAATTCCTTTTGAAAATAACTTGACAACTCATCTCATCACGATGATTTAAATTTCTTTCGAAAATAAAAACGAAAAATTTTGCATGCCTAACTTTTTTAAAATAGCAGTGTCAGCTAATCAGTTCATGATCTTCGAAGTTGGAGGATATCTGAATAAATATGGATGAAAAAGTTGGCGTTGCTATTCAAAAAAGAAATGTTGGGTTTGTTGTTTCATGAGTTTTTTTTTTTTCGTTTTGGCTATCATCAATAGAAATTGAATAATAATCGAATTTAAATCGCCATAATAAGATTAGTTGTAAATCCAATGTTACCTCAAATCCTATTCTGATTACTGCCAAAACCATTCGACAATGGATATGACCAAGTATTTTTTTATGGCCGACTCTACAGGTGTTTTCATTCGGATTTTAAATTTCAGAAAATCAAAATATTACAAATGTGCAATTCTTCATTCCAAAAACAGTGTTTCATTCGAAAAACAGAGAAGATGGATTCATGTCCGATTAAGCGGTAAACTGTTGATTAAATGATGAATAAACGAATACTATCATGTTGAGAATACATTGAACAATAATTTTTTCATTCCGAATTTCAAATTTTCGTCTTGGAAAATTTCAGGTGCGTACCATGATGTAAATGAAAATTTCATACTATATCCATAATCCAAATATTAGAATTCAGGACATTATTGAATTCGCTTCGGAATTCTACGAAACTTTGGTAGGTACTAGGAACTTCTAATAGACATGAACATGTATGGCCAATTGGCATTCTCGAAAACCCTGTAGTGTTTATGAAGGAAATGTTTATGTTTCTGTTCACTATATCAGATCCAGTACAAAATCTAGAGAATGCAGCCCTTATTTGAGGGCTAGCTTCTTTAAGATATTTTTTCAGATAACCAACAATTTCAATTTTTTCCTTTGTCAAATCTTTTTCTACAACTTCTAGTTTTTCTATAATATTTTTCGCAGTTGGTAAAAGATCTGAATATAGCTGTTTTATTTCCTTTGGCAAGGGAAAGTACATTAAATACTTTCTGAACTGTGCCGAGACATATGCCGGTTTCTGAATTAATTCTTTGCGAGCCGCCTCGACAATTAATCTCTTCACATTATCCTTCGTTGGTAAAGATTTAGTATCAAAATTCGTGAAGAAAGTTAGTAGCTCAGCTTGGTCTACTACCTCATAAATATCGATTGCATTATTGATAATTTCCGAATCTGATTCACAAACATATTTTTTAAAATCTGAAATCAGTTCTTCATCTGTTATTTGATAGTCTTCAAAACAACTAAGCATAAAAACTGGTGCTAATTGTATAGGGAAGTATCTTTGATCAGCCCATCCTCGGCCTATGATTTTTCCTATTGAGCACCATTCAATTTCGTCGAAATCGTTCCGTAAATATGGAACTTTGAAATTCGTACCAACTGAACATTTATCGTAAAATGTGGACCAAAATTCAGTTAAAGCATCTCGATAGACCCCTCCCATATCTTCAGCTACTTCTCTTTTACCATTGGGCAAAATCATCTCTATTTGTATATTCGCATTGATCAAGGCATCGTCCTTGGCACTATGCAGGAGTTCCTCAAAAATTTTTCCTCTGTGAAGTACCAATAGAGTTATTTCCTGACTTTTCTGTCCAATTTCTGGAAACAAGGGATAATCCTGTAGATGGTCATCCTAAAATTATAAAGATCATACTGAATATAAACAAAAACTAATTAAAAATATATATACAGTGTGTCCCACTTACCATGCTCACCATGGGGTATCTTTTTAACGGTGAGAGATACGAGGTCGGTTAAATGACACCAAATGTGGAGTTTGTCAAGGCCAACTATAATGTGAAAAAATATTTCGATAAAATCTATTCGTTTTTGTTTTATACGCAAAAAACAGATTTTGACATTTTCATATGTCTCCTCCGTTACTTCTTTATTTATGAAAATATTCAAATAGGAATTTCACATTCTCATTGGAGTTTTTCAAAGTGATTTTGAAAAAAATATGAAATTTATACCAACTCTTCTAGAATTTGAGATATCAGCACCAACTTTAGTTTTTCAAAGTAGGTCATAGCTCACTATGACTTAGTTACAAATAACTCTTTTTTTTTTCTCTTACAGATGATATGTCGCAGTAATAGTTTTGTGTTGATAACAACGGAGTTATCGTCATTTATACAAAAACAAAACATTATTTGGAAGCCGCCATCTCGAATTTATAAATTTCAACGAAAAAATCAGGATCTCCGACCTCAAAAACCTCCACTTACCAATTTTGAATGGAATCGGACCAAATCTTGTCCGCCATCTTGGAGCAGCCATTTTTTTAAATTTCAACAAAAATTCCATAACTACGATTAACTTGAAATTTGGAAGGTGTTCATAATTTCGGTGGCAATACATTATGGAAATATAAAAACGAATAGATTTTATCGAAATATTTTTTCACATTATAGTTGGCCTTGACAAACTCCACATTTGGTGTCATTTAACCGACCTCGTATCTCTCACCGTTAAAAAGATACCCATGGTGAGCATGGTAAGTGGGACACACTGTATATAAGAAGGTATCTTTCCTCAAACGGTAAGACAGTGGTATATTGTCCAACGAGCACGGAATGATAGTCATTTCCCACGAGAATGAAATTTGCACCATTTTATATATAATTTGCAGTCGTAGAGGCGAATGCTGTAAATCATACGAGTGAGAAATTAGCATTTTGTGCGAGTTATACATTATACTTTTTTTACGGCTTTCACATATAATAGCAAAATGATTCAACAACACTTTTCAGGTACTACAATCTCAATTGAACAGAGCTGTCATCAGTTGAATATTCATTGCTTGAATCGACATTTCATGGGAGACATGATTTATTGTAAAATAATAACAATAACGATAACACAATTCAATCATTGTTTTTGCATCATTGTTTCTTCAGGTAAGGAAATGAAATTAAATTGCACCCCATTGTTTTATCAAAAACAGTTAAGAAAGGACAGGATTGTGTCATAACCGTAGAAAAAAATAGATTATCGATTTAGAAGGGAGTTGCGTGATCAAGATCATTTTGATATGCCGTGTTACAAACTTGGAAAATTTTTGAAATACTATGAAAAAACTGAAAACCGCCGATTTGGTTTATATTTCTTTCTTCAATCAATTATTTATAGAAAAAAATTTGAAATTTTGTATAAACAAGTGATTGATCAAGGCAAAGGAATTGGTATTGTTATAAATATTCTATTTCTTCTAGAGTAAGAGATATTTGCAACAAGAAACAACGATATTGTCACTATGAATTACCCGATTAGTTACACTCAATAATAATTATAAATAATGGTGGCATTACGAGTAGGTAATCTTGGTAAACTCAGAGACTGTGGAATACATTTGTTTTTTCAGGTATCGTGTCGACATTTACAGTGAAAAATCGTTGGCACTTTCATTTTTAGTCATACCAATGCAAGATAAATTTATAACAACTTTGATGTCATGATACCATCAGAACGGGTGAGTTGGTATCGATATCAAATGGAACTCAAGGTGTGGAGGCCAATTACTTTATTGAACGGTGAGTGTTCTTGTTCAACTTCCGGTGCTGGATGCATTGCTTCTCCAGGGGAATTATTTCAAGAATATGGTAGCAATCAACTATTATCTAACCTTTCACACCTACATCTACCAATCAGGTTCCCTTCAGGCATCAATACCAAAAGTTTACAGTTATAAAGCAAAATATACTATAACAATTTATATACCAAAAGGCAAAAGCTCTAAGCTATTTGGCTAACTGCAAAGTCAATGTCTCCAGAGAGGATGTGTATTTATAATGGAAAAAATAAATCGCTCACTTGGAATAACTTAAAAAGTCGGCAGGAATCAGCAATTCATCCCAGGAGGTGTTCGATGGGCCGACTCATCAATTATTATCCATAACTGGCTAGAACATTCTATTCTTGTAAGTTGTACTCATACCATCACTTTCTGGGTCGATGGAAGGCATCAAATGGAACAAAGTAATTCGAAGCCAAGCGAAGCGTAGCAAAGCATAAAGCAAAGCAGGAAGCAGACTATATGTATATTATGAAGCTTGTCGAGTTGTACTTGTTGTTGACATTATTGTTGCTGGCTCTGCAATTTTTGGTAATATAACATGTAGAAACTCGCTGTATCAAAACAATGATGGGATTTAGCTGTAAATTGACTTGACTCAAACACCTCGATTTCAGGTTACCAGAAGTAGCAACTACGGTGAGTCGATACTATGAAATCTGATGATTAATCTGTTTAATTATTAGTTTTTATCCAAAATAATTGAGTAGTCAGTGGGCCATCCTTTGATTAATTCAACTTCCTCCAATCTAATAGTTTGATGATACAATAAAAATACATAAAAATGCGAAATAACGTTTTCTATAGCTGCACATGTTATAAAAAATTAAACTCTTCCTGATTCTATAAAAAATCAGTCTTAATTCCGTCAAAATATCCTAGATGACCTTTCGGTTAGTTTGTTTTTAGGTTATGAACTAAATCTATAAAAAACATAAATAGAAGGATGTTTTCACGGAACTCGCACATTTTATCCTCAACAGAAGTTCAATTTGAAAGTACTATTATTGTTTCTCAAATATTGATTTTCTTACATAGTAATATTTTCTGAATATCTTCAAATATTTTGGAGATGAAAACAAGGGGCTGAAAGGTTATTGAACCAAGGCAATGATAATCGAATACTATACTGGGTGAGTATTTCTAGATTCCGATATAGATACCTAAATTGTTCATTATTTTCGTTTCAGGTATCTCGATTCAAGGCAGCACAAAACGGAAGATAAAATGCCAAGTATGTTATATACCTATCAATAAATACTTTGTAAGAAAATTTTAATAAAGGAATTGTGGGTTAATCAGAGTTTCAGGATCTCTTTCAGAAATAATTTTGTATGTATTGAAATACAACCTTAATGCATTCAATAAGTAACGTTATAGGATATTCAGACTACTTATATATTCCACGACGAGAGAAACGTTCTTCAAAGTGATCAGATAGATAATTTCATGAATTGTATTGAGAATTGTGTGGATACAATATCCACTATCCGGCACAATATCCGGCAGAGTATCTTATTTAGCAACAGAATTTCGGATGACATATAGGAACTTTTCATCACATTTCAATTTGCGCAACTGGTTACGTAAAGTAGAACGTTTCAAAACTTCCGCCAGTTCGTACCTGTTACATGTCAAATTTAATAGTTATTTATGTATTAAGGGAATTATGAGGGCCTTAATTACCGATGGCAAAGTTTGCGTCCCGAGGGCCTCTGGCCCGAGGGACAGCAATTGCCTGAGGTTATTGAGGCTCAGTAATTCCCGTGATACATAGATAATTTCATTTCTGACTGATTTCATTCATTAGATACCTTCCCGATTGGAAGTTAGACATGTTTTTCCGTATAGTTTCAATGTCATCAGAACGTCAGATGATGATCTTGACTACCGCGAATAGGAGATTCCGTATTGCTAACGTTACTGCGTGGTTGTTGCTATGCATTTCTTATTTGATTTTAGTTAGAGGGAATTATAGCATCTATAACATCCCAAGGGAGTTATGACCCTCATAATAGATATCGTAACTATGACGATATAAGCTTATAATGTCACTGTCAGAAATAAAAAAATATATATTTCTCACCTCCCATGAATAATCTTCAACATAACTTTGGATGGTACTGCTCACTCGTGCGATTCGACCACTGCTAGGCCTTTCATCACTATGATAATCATCATTCATTCCATTTGTGCTTTCAATAGATTCTGAGGTTTGAGTGGAGGGTTTATGTGAATTGGCAATATTTGAAACTGATGATTCATCATCTTCTTCACTATCGCTATTATCTCCTGTTGCTTTAACATTTTCTGTTGATAGATACAGCTTCAGTCTACTTATTCCGGTTTTTTTGTATATTTCATCTATGGTCAATGAAAGATCAATCGGGTAGCATTTGAAATCTAGTAGGCTAACTTTGAAATTTTTTATGTGGCCTTTTGTGGATTTTTTATCGGGAAAAAATAAATCAATAGCTCGATTTTGAACGTCTTCGCATGTAGTAAATCTGTCAACTTGTAACTTTCTCGTTCCGCCACCCTGACGAGCTCTGACTTGTATCAATTTTTTTTTTTTTTTATTGAAAATCATCCAACCCACCTCAATATAGCGAGTGGATTTTCTCGTAGATTTCTTCTCTGCATTTTCTGATGTTTTGTCGCTTTCATGGATCTCACTCATTTTAGCCACTCTTTCATTTTTTTTGTTGATTTTGAGTCTCAACTTTTCTATCAAGCTATATTTCTGTGGACATGACTTCTTCTTGCAAAATTCAAGCAGGGCAATACGGTCACCAAAACGCGGAATCAGTTTTGTTAATGTGTCCTCTTCCATGGCCTGGATTACAGATGCATCAATCTGTAACATGAAAATTTGTTATAATCCCGCAGTGATGACTATTATTTTGTATAATTATATCAGTTGAAGAATTCTGGTCCAATAATTATTTCCGGTCATAACTAAATCTCAAAACACTGGATATTGCCTGATGTTATACTGTTATTATACCTTCTTGTTTTCATCAAATACCTATTAGACACCTCTGAATTCCAGCTTTGATGATTGCACTTTGAAATATCATATAGATATAATTTACTGTAAAAGCTTGGAAATTGGTGAATCCGAGGGTGAATCCTAGGATAGACACGTTAAAGCTAGGATTTACCAATTAGATGTAGTAAATGACGAAAAATGGTGTCAGTTATGTAATTTTGGGCTTTTACGTCAATAAGGAACGTACTATCAAGGAAGGAAAGCATTTTTACATTTATTACGGTTAGCTTTCTTCATCGTTCTTGTTCTTCCGATTCCGCCGTGGCCGTATCAAGATGTGCTTCATGTATTGCCAAAAATAAGTCTTCATAAGTATAAGTATAACCGAAGCTGACGCTCATCAATTACCAATATCGGCATATAGGTAGGTAATACCTATGTATATCAGTGAAAAATTTCATCAATTCAACAAACAAAATAATAATAAACCATATGATATAATACTCACGTTCTCTTCCTCGATGTACTTGATGGTCTCATTATTCACCCCTCTCTGTCTGAGAAAATCGGACAAGGACATGTTTTCCTCCATCTGAAATTTATTATTTATGAAAATTGACTGAAATGACATTAAATTAATTTTGAATACTATACTCATATGTGGAGAAGGACAAAAATCTCTCCAAGAAGTGAATTCGTTTCCGTAATGAGAATTAAATCAAAAAGCATCCTCAAGCATTATGGTATCCATAATCCACCAGTGCATTATGAGATCATAATTTACCGAGCAGAGTTCAGAACTACTTAGTAGTCTTGTAACTTTGTCGTCTGAAAGGAGAGTTAGGTATACCTTGCGTCAGATTCGCTAGTTCAGATTTTTGCTCTGTTGTTTATTATGTTGGCCCAATGAATAAACCAATTTTTCGACCACGAGAGCCTAGAGCAACATTGTCGAAAATCCAACAACGAAATTTTTAAAATTTTTGGCAATTTTTTAAACCTGAATAGATTCCGAAATATTACAGCTGTTCAAAATTCATTAATCATTTCTAACTCGGGAATTGTTAGCAATGAGTAGCTGTTTGGAATACATTTTTTGGAATTTAAAACTCACTATTGACGAAGCTTATTACACACGATGCAGGCAATAAAAGTTCTTCATATATCATCATTAAAAAGAACAAAACAATATTATCGATATAATATGTACAGAGAACAGTGTAGTTCAAATGTATGGAACAAATTCGATTTATCTGTTATACAAGGTAGGTACCTATTCGCGAAAAAGCCTCAGACAGGACGATTTCAATTTTTGATGATGCATTTTTTCAATCATAACAGAAAGTTTACAGGGTGATACGTATTCGGGTAATAACAGGGTTGGCACTTATTTCCAATTGAATCCCTTGAATGCCTGGTAGAAATGTTTCCTCCCGGGTCTAACCTTCTCCTTTGCCTCACTCATTGACCATACATGATCCCGCCCGAGCATAACCCCATGAAACTTGGTATCGTTGGATTTTTTATAACAATTCCTTTCCGATTATGGAAAGACATACTGAGGGAATTACAATAATTCGTAAAACCGCAGAAATTTTGTTTTTCTTGACAATGTTGCGTTCTGCTCTCACGGTCGAAAAATTGGATTATTCATTAGGCCTACATCATAAACAACTCAGCGAAGAATCAGATCTACCGGATCTGACGCAAGGTGACAAGGTCTGATGTATATGGTTACTAGACTAATTTAGTAACGAAATGGATAGAGTCGTGGAGAAAGTGTAATATTCTACTCACATATTATGGTTATTATTTGAGTCGACGATTATTCAAATGAGAATCTTTGTACATCACCTATTCTATAACCGGTTAGGGCTCATGATTAATAGCCAGTTGCATAAAGCTTCTTCTGTTAACTTGACGTGTGATTAACTCCGCTAGCTCGTGAGCTAAGGCAAAAATATTTTTTTCTTCAAACGTCAGCGAATTTGAAATTTGATGCGCCATTTCTCGATAGTTAAGTTTAACAATCCCAAGTCATTCTTGATGGCGGCAGGGAAAGTACTCTGATGCTAGGCAACGCTGCTTTTCCTGCCGCTATATTAGCGGCAGGAAAAGTAAACTATTCAAACCAATGTATTATATGCTCATAGACTAGATATTATTTGAACATTCATAAATAATAAATTATCAGAAAATCAATGTAATCAATCTCAAAAAATAATTCTTTGAAACTTAGTTATTGGTCGAATTAAAATTGAAAGTGCAATTATAGTGAAAGTGGCATTCTGGAAATTGAACCCATTTGCATTTAATGCAATCTTGGACGTTTGAAGAAAAAATAGCATGTTTTATTCGGAGCCGAAGTACTTTCTGTGGCTCGTTTGTATTTGTCGGACTCGCTCGCGCTCGTCCGCCAAACCATTCAAAAACTCTTTCACATTTCACTATACAGGGTGTTTTAAAATTCAGTATCAAGATTTCAGGGGCGTATTTGTTAGGTCAAAATAAGACTTTTTTTCCTCAAACATGTTTCCGCAAACGCTTCGTTACCGAACTACAGAGCATTGAAGTGAATATGGTCCAGTTTCCATTTCAAAGTTGAACATATACACGATAGGACATCCACCAACTTTCAAATAATGTCAAATGCTTCAAAACAAACCTAATCATCGAAATAAGAATAGCATTCAAAGCCCACTTTATCATTGTTCCGTTGAAAGATTCAATTAAATCTAGCGAATTACAAAAATGATTTTGAAAAGGATTATTCTCAGATATACTATGAACATGAAAAAATTGAGAAATATATTGAGAATTCGCATTCTCTATCTAAAAACCTCTAATCACAGATTCGTGATTGGGTTTTTTCAATTCAGAATTTTTCCACATCCTGTATGGTGAAAATCATACGACTGACATAAATGATTTTAATTTTTTTCTCAGTAACGGTTGCAAATGCGTAAGAATTACAAGAGACAAAAAATCTATGAACAAAATGAAAAATTCATTTCAAATGTTAGATTCCACCAGCGGCATAACAAACAAGATTATGGGGCGAAAAAGGGCTTGTCCCCTGAAAAAATATCTCCCTGTAGCTTATTACAATCTCTCGGCATACTGGATGATGTAAACCCTGAAACGTAACCTATATTTCAAATTTGATTTTATCTCAAAAACTGAAAAAGCTATGAAGAAATAACTAAAAAAATCTTGAAACTTCAACGCTCTGTTCAGTAATGAATCGTTTGCGAACACATGTTCATGGAAAAAAAATATTTCGACCTGAAAAATACGCCCTTAAAATCTTGATACTTAATTTTGGAACACCATGTATAATATAAGTGTACGTGAACGAAACATGCTCACTTTGTTCTTGGACATCATTTCTTTCTCGTTTTTTCTTACTAACTGAAACACTTGTAGGTACGCAAAACGCAGATTGAAAATAGCCGAATAGGCTGTGAGTAGGGTGAGGCAGTGTGAAGACTGTGAAGTAAACAAATGGAATGCTTTTTTCTGATTTTCGTGAATCCCCTAGAAATATTATATGCGCATGCGCTGAAAGTGTCATCCCGAATTTTCAAAATTGAGAATGAAATTATATCATGTTTTGTATGCGACATTAGTTATTTAGGGAGGAGATTTGAAAAATGGGATAGACTGAACTTAACAAAGTAAACTAACAAATCGTCCCTCAGGGTACAGACAGTAGGTATATATAAAAAGGTTGGAAAAAGAATCGTGTTGATTTACATTCATATCTATAGGTTTGATTGTTCTCAATCTCGCTTTTTTCTATCACGTTGATACGCGGATGTGCAAATAAAAGAATTCAGTGCCGGTCGAAAGTATCCTGCCGATCATTGTGGCGAGATGGCGTGATATGTGTTGTTGTTGTATACTGAACAAAAAAGACTCATATATATTGGGTGACACAGGAGATTGTAGCAGCCTGTAGTTTTTTTCATTTGAAGAAATTCAATTTTGAAATTCACAGGAGGTACATAATCAATGATTGCGCTTTTTTGAACCTAACGACAATTTTTTTCGACCACCCCTTTGACTTTTGACTCCAACTTTTTTTCAACAGCACCCCTGTATACAGGGTGTTATCGAAATAAATACATTAATCGAACACAAAAATATGCTTTGGTCTAACAAAAATTCCAAAAATATTCGATTTTCCTAAGTCTTTAAATTGAACAAAAAATTGAACAAAAAATTAGTACGCCACTTCAGGGATATTGAAATCTTAATGACTCGCCGTCCACATCAGAATTTGATGACACTGACATCAGAATGAGCGACTAGCTCTCGATGAGTGGGATACCTTGAGCCTTCTTAAGGTTGAAATTTAATGTATTTATTTTAATCACCCTGTATTTCTTCAGTCGATCTTATTCGCCTAGATCAGTGGTTCTCAAAGTGGGCGATAGCGGCCCCTCAGGGGCGCAGGAAGTCTTCAGGGGGGCAGTGGAAGGCTCAGGGGATAATGGGGGCGTTAAGGCGGTCTATAGAGGGACGGAGACACGTATTAAAAATGATGCTTCAATGCGTATAAGTATATGAAGTAGTTTAAATTTCAAAGCTTTCTTTCCATAGATATCAATAAAAATATTTTTGAATGTGATCGAGTATTAGGTATGTAGTATTCTTTTTTATCTATTTTTTTCAGAGAAGAAAAAAGCATTCTCATTCAATCTCTGGTAGAATTCTCATTCAAGATCAGAAATAAGATATCGTCATCGTAATGTACAAGGCATTTCTTTATCAACCGAATTAAAAAAAGGTCATGGTCCTTTTTTTTATGTATGTTCGCGAATTTCTCGGGAACCACTTGATTGAAGTTGGTCCCATCCCAGAGGGGGTACATGTACATAATTTATTATTATCATTATTGAAAAGCGGCATTCATTTGGTTGACTGGTCCACCGCTTGGTGGCCGATTCATTTACCATTCGACTCCATGTTTGATTAGGAGTCGAATGACCTTCAGCGTCCGCAGAGGTCAAATAAAAAAGTTGCTGGATAACGCTTTCCATGGTAGATGGCATATATTTCGGTGCGACTCGCATGCTCAAACATGTGTTGCCACAGCCACACCTCCTAGCGCATGCTTGTGAGTTACAGAAAACTTTACGATTTTCCGTTCCGAGTTGGAAAATACCACATAAGGTTTGGTCAAGGGAGGAGCCAACTTCATTGAAATTTGTGCGATTTGAGTCATTCATTTTAGACAACTTTTTTATTCGACCTCTGCGGGTAGAGTCGCAATATATATAGCATCGTTAATCTATGTATATAGGGTTGCCCTCTAACGGTGGACCGTTATTTTTTCCAAGACCATCTACGAAAGAACCCCGCGTTTATTAATATTCTTCACTAGAATCACTGCTCATTCATAACAAATTGTTGCTGACAATAATCAGTCTGATAGATAAACGTCATCAAGAACGAATAGTTACCTGGGACTCAACACGAATTGTGAATATACACACACTGGCACAATTAGGGAAACGGGCAAAATTTACACTAAGTTTGACATCAATTTTCTTTCGAACCGATCGCTCAATTCAA